TAATTGAAAGCTGTCTGAAATTGATATAAATAATAATTTAAATATCGCTTTATGAAACTATTTTAATAATTCAAACTGCTAAAACGGATTTCAAATTAGATAATAGAGATTTTTTATTTATTTATTTTTTATTAAAAAAAATAGAACACATATATATTGATTATGATGTATGAAAAGAGGTTGTGGAGAAGTATTTTTGCATAAAATTACACAGTACAAAAACTTAATTTTAAGGGTTGGTGGTAGGGGTAACTCGAAAAAAAATGGATTTTTTGATAATTGTCTGTACGTAGTTTTGTAGACATAAAAATGAGATGCAACTTTTGTTTAAACTTTTTTTTTTTATATCTCTCACCGTTCCTTCACTTATTACGCGAAAAAAAACAAATCTGCATTTTTTTCAAGGGGTGATATCACCCTTTCAAACCAAAATATGGCACGAAAAAAAAAATAGTTTTGTGTTACGGATGAACTACTCTACTTGCACAAATTTTTTCAGAATTTTCGGGTTGCCTAACCTCCCTTGTAAGACTGAAGGTGGGATTGGGTCTTCTTACGGGACACATCACACTGAGGAGCCATCTAAACAAACTTGGGCTTACGGAACAAAGCGACTGCCGCCTATGTGGTGAGGAGAAAGAGGACAGCGCCCACATTTTATGTCGGTGTCCGTACTCATATGTAAAAGGTATATATCCTGGGGCTGCATGTTCATGGAGCCTGAGGATCTAAACGAAAAAAGGGTTAGCAGCTTGATTAACCTGGCATCAGATACTAGGCTGGGCTTATTAGCGCAATCCTAAAATAAAAAAAAAAATAGCAAGAAGTTACAATGGAACTTTTAGATCTAGGTGACGCAAGGGCATCAAAGTGCCCACCTGCTCCACCACTACTACTACTACTATTACATATTTTCTAAAATCTAACAAATATTTTTTAAGTTAAGAAATTATACTTAACAAAATATATTTCTTTGATTCAAAGAATTTTTTTAGTGTACATTACCAATTTAAATATCGATTTTTTTATTTCTTCATTAATTTAATAATTATAAATAATTATATTTATTTTTTTCATGTATAATATTTATTTAAATATTTATAAAATATTATTACTAATATTTACTTTTTATTTACCATAGATATTGTATAAAATTTTTAGTCTACATTTTAATAATATTTTGGATAAAGATTTTGATACTTTTCTCTTTTTATGAATATAAGAAAATGTTTATAAAATATTTATACAATATTTTAAAAAAATAATTTGAAATAAATATTTATAAATATTTATCATTAATATTGTGTGTTGTCTGGGTTAATATTTTAAATCTTGACAGTACTTTACGTAATTATTTCATCACTTGACAAAATATTACATATAATATTACATATTAGTATTGAAATATTGACAATGCTCTGCGTAAGTATTTTATCACTGAACAAAGTATTACATATGAATATTTAAGTATTAAAATCAATCAGGTAGTATTTGTAACACTAAACACCGAAATATTTGAGCACTAAGAGCTGTATTTGAATCACAGAGTATTACTAAACACTATATTTTTAATACTGAAAATAAGTAATTAATCAATGATTCTCAGTATGATATTTCTATAAGAGATATGCATTATATATAATATATATAATAGGAATATACCCACCGTGAGCTGTATCGGGCGGGCGAGCGCGTTTGCTGGCAAACAGTGTGTGTGTGTGTGTGTGTGTGTGCGTGTGTGTGTGTGTGTGTGTGTACGTATGCAACTAAACGCAACACATGGCTTCCAAATTTTCAGCATGCATTTGTATGAATTTCTCGATGTAACACACGATTTCTTGCTTTTTTTAAGGGAAAAATACATGAAATATATGAACAAATACTTTATTGATGAATTGGTGTGACAGAAATATTTTTCGCACGCACGCACGCACGCACGCACGCAGGCACGCACATACGCGCGCGTGAGTGCGTGTCTCTATGAGAATTAAATGTTTAGAAAAAATCACGCTTACCGTTTATATATTACACTTAATATATTCTGTGTTGATATTAATGTACTTTTTTTGTGAATAACTTTTTAACAAACAATGCCCTTATAGAAATATCATACTAAGAATCATTGATAATTACTTATTTTCAGTATTAAAAATACTTGATAATAAGTAATTATCAATGATTCTTAGTATGATATCTCTATAAGGGTGAGGGCCAGTTAAAACCTTTTGAATGTTACTCAGGGTAATAGCAGGTACCTTCCTAGCCAATAAATTGTACTATGCATTTGTATATACGGTGTCCAAAAATTACATCCATTTTATGCAATTTCTCTTGTTAATAACAACGAGCGACGGCTAAAAAACTTTTTGAATGTTACTCAGAAGAATATCCTTGTTAATATACAGGGTGAGTCATTTTAGTCTATGGATCCGAATATCTTCCAAATTACGGTATCTACAAAAAAATGGTTTAGATAAAAGTTGACCAGGAGAAAGGGGGTCATGCAATTGTACCATTGGTTTTGACCTTGTGGTCAATTTTGAAGGTTACTTCAAGGTCACGATGGTT